GTGGCCCTGTGTGGGTCAGAGTAAGCTGTAGTTGCAACTGGTACCAGAATTGGTTGATAAATCACTGATCACTCCAATAAAATGCTAAAAAATGAGGAGCTCTTCCAGTAACTTTATTTGGAAGTAACTTTACTCTCCTGACCTTCAGGGAGTGCAGATACTTACAAAGAATAACACACAGATACTGTTCATTATAAAGTATGTAAATAAAAACACTTTAAATAGCAGAACTGTATGTTCTCTGGACATCCCCAGGCCAGCAGGCACACTTGTGCATTGTCCTTTAAGCCAGTGAGGCTTGTCTCCTAGGTATCAGGTCCAATGCTGTTACCTATGCTGGTTTGGGCAGTAGTGACAAAGTGAATGAAACTTGTTTGGCTCTTTTGCTTGAGAGCCTGCAGGGAAGCTGTGTGCAGCAGGGGATGCTTGGATGGTCTGCTGGTAGAGAGGCAGTTATAATTGCTGTGTAACCCCTTCTCACTGGGTAACTTGATCACTGCAGCAGGCGTATGGCCTGCATTTGGCACTGATTGTAGTACTGATCCCAGGCCAGCCAGGATTCAAAGCATGCCACCTGCTCAGGGACCCCTTTGCTTTGTTTTTCTTTCTGCTGTTGTCCTACCCAGTGATACCTTTGAAAGACTGCATTCACAGCTTCATCCATCAGAGCTGCACTGTCAGGTTTGATCAGTAATGGCTCTCGCGTTCCTCTCTGCTTTAGTTCTTAAGAACCTCCATTCCTCTGTGCCTTTCTTGCAGCTTTTCTGTGTGCACCCTTGCTGCTTCCAGTGGGACAGGTTTTCTGCCCACCAGTGGGGTAACCATGCTCCAGGTCTGCCAGGGCCTCTCTCTCTTCCTCTGCCTCTGAAGGAACGGCTCCTGGGGAGCAGAGCTAAGGACAGCAGTCAGTGGACAGAGTCATCCCTGGGATCTCTAGGTTTCTTTTGGAGGTGACCTGGCTTGTGTGAACTTAGTGGCCTGACAAAGAGCGGCTGGAGGAACTGGAGCGGTCCCCTTGCACACAGCTCCTGCTCCCGGGAGAAACAGCCCCGCTGCTTCAATCTGATGCAGAGGGGCGATGCTGACTCCATTACTCAGTCCCACTTGTCCAGTGGTGAACATAGTCTATTGAACACTTCTTTAAATTAGGGCACTGGAGGCATAATTTAGATTAGGATTAAGTTCCAGCTGCAGGGGAGACACTTAAAACATATATTACGTGTGCTGACAGACCCATTCATCTCACCAGAAAGTGAATAAATCCGTCTACTTAGTGGAGAATTTCCTCCTAAACCCAGGGACCCTTTCAGGCCTCACTGGGGTGCAAAGCTGTTTTGTTGTGAGAGGATGAGGGAGCCATGGCCTGATGGAGATGAGTGCAGTGGCTGAGCAGAGTTGGCTCCTCAGGTACCGGCTGGTGAGTGAACGCCACCTCACAACTCAAATGTGCAGCGGTGCAGTGGAGGTTTGTGGGCAGATGGGGTAGGGGGTGCTTTCTCTAGATGTCTCTTTTATTCCTAGGAAACCTGCAATACGTGCTTTTCAAGCCCGCTGTTCCAGAAGAGCAACTAAAAGTGCTGAACTTTGATCGTGGGAGTGTTGGTGTTAATAAGTTACAAACTGACCCCAGCGCTCCGCTGGAGCTGAAGGCAGCCTGGGGGAAGTTCTCTGCTTTGCAGTAAGAGGCACCTTGTTGCACCCTATCCCCTTCTCATCAGCTTCATTAACTCAGGCAGCCTCTCCAGCTTGGATGCCAAAAGGGCTAACATAAATGAACTAATGTAGTCACATTAGCTCAGCTCTGGGCTGATGCAGCTTGCCTTCCAGCTGCTGAAATCTGGCTGTGCAGGAACACTGGCTCAGTGCAGGAGGAGGAGAGCTGCCATGTCCCCATTTGCCTGGGAGTTGTCAGGGAAGGGGCATGGAGGAGAGAGGCCAGGAGCCCTGCCACCAACCTGACGCCCAGCCCCAGTCCTTCCCTTTTCTCTGACTTTTTAGTTCAAGATGAAGGCTTTTTGCTTTATCTACCCTCACAAAATCTCCTCTTAGCTGGCAGCTTTGGGAACACTCCCTTGCTTCTGCAATTGAGGTGTCACTGGGAATCTCCTATCCGCCGAGCTCAGTATGATTCCTACTTATAAAGCATGAGTGTAATTTATGAGAGCTGAAGCTTCACTGTGAAGTGCAAAACTCAAAGAAAATTATGCTGTTTAGGTAACGTGGCTTCTACTTCTCCCCCCCTTTTTTAAGTAGGAATTTTACAGTTTTTCTTCAGCAAAAGTTTATTTCTCAACAAAGCTTGTTTGGAGACCTCCTTGTTGATAGCCGTAAGGGTTTTTTTTTCAGCAACTACATAGAATTTATTTTAAATACACCCAATATAATAAGAAATAAGAAGAGAAACTGAAGTTTGGATAGAGCATGCCTCTATCCAAAAGTCAGAAATGCTTTTCCCAGCACAAAACAGAGAAATAGGCTCTTTAGTTTTATGTATACAGCTGCCTCCTTACTGTCCCTGTCCTTTATAACAGACCCCCTTCAGGCTCCATCAGCAGCCTCTGTACAGTAAGTCTCGTGGTGCTCATTCCCAAACCCTGTTGTTCTATGCACCTGCCAGTGGAGCAGGCACATGCTGGTGTGCCTTTGTAGTTCTAGATGCCACCCCTCAAGAGCAAGCTTTTCCCTTGAGTTTGGACCTTATATGTCTTTGCTTAAGTCCTGTTGGCTTTATTGTCCGAATATGACCCATGCTGCAGTTGTTTCTGTATGTGACTAAGACTGCTTGTGGGAGCAGTGCCAGTGGGGAGGTGCCAGGCAGCAGACAGCTGAGGGTGGCCAGGGCAGAGACTGCATGAGCCCATGTGCTGTCCAGATGAGTGATACCCCTCTGTGGGTTGCTTGGGCAGAGCTGGCCCATATGCTGCGTCCGCTGTGGGGAGTGACACCAGTCCCTTGAGTTCCCTGTAGTCCCTTGAGTAGTATCACAAGCACTGTGGGGTCACCCTGCCTCCTGCAGTGGCAGGACCTGGCTTTCCCCTTCTCTGCATTCTGGTCCCTGCAATGCCAGTGTGCCATGACAGTGGTGACAGTGGGAGGAGAGCTGAGCAGTGTGCTGCAGGTGGGGACTGACCCCTTGGGAGGGCTTGGCAATTATGGCCCTGCCCTGAGACAAGGCAATCTGGGTCCTGTCTTGTCCAGCTCTGCAGGACTTGGGGGGTTATAATGCTGCAGCTGCAGATGTGGCTCACACAAGGGGGGCCACGGCCGCCACTTGACAAAGCAGCAGAGGTTTGGTAGAGGCGTCTGTGCTTCTCCTGGGGCTGGGAGGGATGTGGGGGCATGGTGGGTGCTCAGCGTACACCGAAGCCCATGCTGCCAGGTCTGCTCCCTAATGCAGCCTAGCAGGGCTTGCTGACCCTGCATAAGCAGTGTGGGGAGGGGACAGCCCTCCTGCTCCCCTCCAGAGCTCTTCCCAGACCATTACCGCCTCCCAAAGGTGTTGCAGGGCCAAATCCCTGGAGGGAGTAGGAGGTGTGCAGAAAAATAGCCCCCCTGGGTCCATCTATTTGCATTGCTCTGAAAGCCCCCTGCTCCCTACCTGCCCTGTGGGGCAGGAGCGTGGGCCTGTGTGCCAGACGGGCACGTACGGCAGGGTGAGGGTAGGAGGCTTTCTGCAGGCAAAGGCTTCCTTCAACAAAGCCGTTTCTGTCCTGCTCCCAATATTTCTGCCTGTGCGGTTGGGGATCCGGGGGGGCGGTGGAGCACAAAGGACCCCAGACAATAGGGCGAGTGGGAGCATTCCTCACACCCATGGCGGCCAGCGAATGAGCTTTGTCTCCAGCCGCTGCCTCCCTCCGTTTCGGGGGCAGTCCCTGCCGTCCATCCTCCTCTGCTCCTTTGTTCCCGCACTGCCTGCCAGGGGTGAGACAGGCAGGTGAGCGGCGCTCGAGGCAGGGGGCTGGCGACGTGCTGCGGCGGGTGCATATTAATAGATTTCTCCAGCCTGTCGCTGGGTGTTTGACTTGATTCATGAGAATCCTCCGTCTTGGGGACGCTGGATGCGGACGGGAGGGAGAGCAGGGAGAGAGCTATTGTCTGCCAGGCCTGGGGCCTTGCCGGTGGCTGCGCCGGCGGCTGCCACCGCCTCCCCGAGCCACAAAAGCAGTTTGCACCTTTGCCCCGACGTCCTTCCTATTTGTCTATCCAGGGCGATGCGAGGTGGGACCGGCTGATATCCGTGCTCTGTACATGTCCCTGTGGCATGAAGCTGCACAGGGGTGAAGACAGGCAGGCAGCTTCCCAAACACTGCCTTGAAGAGCAATTGCGTTCCAGTCGCAATGGGCTGCGTCCAAGCAGGGCTGTTCATGCAAGTGAAAAGACTTCCATTCAATGCCTTAGTGGCATCAGAAATCAAACATGGGAAAGCTTTCTGATGCTTTTTTTTTTCTAATGGCATCTGTAGATTTTGCACTATGTTTTATGATGGGCTATAATTTTGAATAAAATAAAATACACAGCTGGTGGACTGATACTAGCCAGGCAGCAGTGAGCTTCTGCCTGGAAAAGGCCAATTCAGGTACAGCACTTGATAATATTCGCATAGAAAGGGTGTGTATGGTAATACCAGGAAAGGAAAACAAACAGGATGGAGCATACTCCATCATGCTGACAAAGACCGGGATCGTACATGCTGGGGTGCAAATAGGATTGTTTGCATATTCAGCCGACTCTATCCTCCCTTTTCCCTGTCCCCAAGCATCAGTGGTGGCTGAGCTCCTTGGGGAGCTGTTTGAGTCAGGGGGACAAATGTGTATGGGGGAGGGGGGCAAAGGAGCACGTGGAGGAGGGATGATTGCAGAGAGGGTGCTGCTGTCAGGGGCTACAATAGAAAGGAGCTAGCTGGTGGGATAAAGCTCCAGGGTAGGGTTTATCAGACTGAATGTAGGAAGCTACAGATGAGCTTGTCTGACAGCTTTCCTTTTATATCCCTGACATGCAGCTCATCCTGTCCTGAACTAGACATTGAACAACACATCTAAATCATGCTCCAGAGCAAAGGTCCCAGGTTTTATGTTATTTTTTCTTTCTTCTCTCAGCTGTCAAGGAATAAAGCTAAACTGAGGGGGAAAGGAGCATTTATTCCCAGTGGGTAAAGAGAGGAAAGCTGAAATGAAGGATTTTCCTCAGCGATAGCATTCCCCAGGTAGCAAACCCCACCATGGAGTTTCCAGTGAACCTATTGGGACTACAAACCAAACAAATCAAGAAATGTCACCGGTGTATTAACCTGCTGCCCTGCACTGGCACATGTCAGTGGCATACAAGGATGAACCCTGATGCTGTGTCCTGGTGTCCTGAGATGGGGCATGGCTGCAAGCCTCTCTGGGGTGAGGTGACTGACCTGGCTCCCAACTCCTGCTCTCTGTTTCCGTGTAGAAAGAGGCTGCTGCAGGGAAACCTGGGTTGGTTACAGCAGTGGTTGGGGGCTGTGCCAGCCCTTTGCAATGTCTGCTCTCAGTGAGGCAGAAAATTGGCTGTAAAGAGGAACTGGCACACACCTGTTTGCAGCTGAAGCCAGAGCAGCTTACGTTAGAGGTTACCTGGACTCTACTGCTGTCAAGTATTGGCTGCAAGAGAGACGTTATTTCCTCAATGCCTTCTTTTATGTGGTGACACATTCAGAAGCTCTGGGAAAAGCTTCTTCAAATAAGCTTGTCCGCAAGCTTTTTGCTGGTCTGTTTTTTCTTTTTCTTTCTTTTTTTTTAATCTTCTTTCTTCTTATAGAGAGAATTGGTCAATCACAGCATTTTGATGAAGTTGCTCTTAGCCTCTTACTTCATAGCACATAGACTTCCTGAAGAATCAAGGAAATGTTAATAAATTGGGTGTAGGAGACTTGCCTGCTGTTCCTTTCCCCATCTAATTTTCCTCCCTGCACTGTCTCCAGAGCACATCCTGCCCCTAGTTGCTCTGTTAACTTGTCTGTACTTATAACATTCTGTACATAAAACACAACTGGGCTCTTTTTGCTCTGATTGAAGTCATGCTGTGTAAAAGAAAATACAAATTAGCTCTGGCCTTTGGGCTCCTGACAAGTTTCCAGCGCTGCTTTCAGCACCACAGAGGTTGTGTAACTCCACATCTTGGTGCAATGACGTCTCCTGCTCCGTCATGAGCTGGACTGGCTGCCACACATCCAGGTTCAGCTCTTAAGAAGCTTTCAGCACTGAAGGAGGAAGAGAGGTTGCCAGCAGCTGGGTGAAATGTGGGAACTTACTTCTTCCTGGGTAAATCCCCAAATCTTGATGTTTGTGCAAATAGCTCCCAGTCTAATGTGTGCTGAGTAACTGGGGAGCCCGGCATGGGGAAGAGCTAACGTTTCAGTACAGGATTAACCCTCGAAGGAAGAATACAGTAGCAATTTATACAAACTATGGCTTAAATATGCCAAATCTTTTACGCAATGAAGCACAGGCACTTTCCTGCCTCCTCCAGGGGTTCAAGCCGTGTACACTGTTACACCATTTCAGCATTGCAAACGGAAGGGCTGAAGCTGCAGTTACCACATTTTCAGCAGAAAACTTTAAGTCTCAGTGACTTCCTCCAAGGATGCTGAGCTAAACACCATCTCCATACCGGCGAGTGAATGAGTTGCAAATGATGTCACTGGTTTGAAACAGAGCGTGGGCATGACGTGGGTGAATGTTCCTGGTGCTGGGTGTTTTCTAAAGGTTTCTGAAGCATGAGGCATGACTGAATGACTTGTGTTTTCTTTAAAAGTTGAGTGGGTGAATCTTGAATCGTTGGGCTGCTTTATTTTTGTTAGATGTGTGTGGGCTGAGGACATGACTCAGTATTTTCTCTGCAGATGCGAAGATCATATTGCCAATTCTGGGTATACTTCGGGCTGTTTCATGCAGAGAAACTGGACTGCTTTCTCAGCCCTGAGCTTTGCTTTTTGGCAGCCTTAAGCCTTTTGATGTGAAAATAAATAATTAATTTTTAAAATCAGTGCTTTCCCAAAATGTATATAAATACACTGAAGAAATGGCTGAACATGGAGAAATTGCCTCTACCTCTATGTTTTCCCAATAATTTATCTGATTATTTTCATGTTATTCTGGAGATGTTCATTAATATCTGATTTTTCTTCCTGATTCTCCCTAGTCCAGATTGCTGCTGGGCCATCCCTTTGTCTGCTGAGTATCATCTCCAGTATTTAACCAGCCATGCCCTGCTGGGTGAGAGCCATTGTCCTCTGACTGATGGCTGTGAGTTCTCCCTCTCTGCTCAAGAGACAAGTAGGCATATTTGTGGGTATATGTATGTAGTTCAGCCAGTACCCAGAAGCGACACAGAAGTTCCAGAAAATTTTCCTTTTTCCCTTTGACAACCTCCCTGTCCTACTCCCCCTTCTTTATCCTCCCTTTATGCCTGGTACAAGGTATGGCATGTGCTCTGGGAGATGCACAAGGCCAGGCATGGGCTGTGGATGCTTCTATCGTGCAATGATGAGTGCTCTCTTCTCCCATCCCCTTCTCTGCTGAGCAGAGTGCTGGTATTCATGTCCTTGATAAGAACCGGTTGCTTGCTAAGACTCATAGCCCAGTGTCCTGGAACCACTGATAAACATTTTTTCCCTGCTGATAACCAACCTTCAGCCTACCATGAACCTTGATAGGCTTGCTGAAGATCTGGGAAGTGCTAGATAATAACAGACTTGAGGATGAAGGATGTTGTACTGGAAAGGCAGTCTTTTGGGTGATCAGAAGATGATGTGTCTATAGGTGTATTCTGTAGGGTGTGTAGGGTGAAATGAACTCCATACACTCTGCTTTTTTGATCTCTAATAGAGTTTAACCATAGAAAAATTCACACTCTCAACCCCTAACAACGGCCTTAGCTAATGTGATCTGTACTTAGCACCATGACCCAAACACCACTACTTTCCTGACTCTATACGGGACCATACAACAGTGAGAACACCAATATAGCTAATTATAAGCCATATGCTCAAGCATGCATTGTATTGCTGGGGCTGTATCATCTTCCAATCATTCTAGTTCCTCAGTTCTAAGCTCTGCTCCCTATTCTTGACATTTTTTCTAGCCACCACCCATGGCAATAATTCACTCCAAACCTAGGGCTGAGTATATCCGTTATCCCTCCAGACCTCACAGGAAGCCACTTGGTTAGCTCAAGTGTCTTTGCAGCCCTGTCCCAAAATGACATGGACTGGGTACCAGACCTTATCATATCATCTCTCAATCCTCACATTATTCAAGAATAATCCTACACTTTCAACCCTTTTTACCCCAAAGCCTCATTCCAGCCTTAACCATAAAGTACCAGCCAATACTCCTCTAAACATAAACTGAAAGCCTCCTGCATTGCTGAGTATCAGCACTCAGGATTGCCCTGAGGATCAAAGAAGAGGGTGCTCTTTAGTCCTTGATATCCCTTCCCCTAACCCTGACTTCAATGTCTACAGACTCAATGCTCTTTACGTACAGGCCCATACCTCCGAATGCCCAAGCTGTTCATCCCTGCCAGCCACAGTCCCCATGTCTGTATTTCTAATAATGTCTTTGCTGGAGCACGGGCATGGGGCTGGAGCAGCCAATGGTGCTTGCTGGGTATAGAGGCTGGAAGCTGTGCTTGTTTTGAAGTGTAGTATGGGAAGATTTTGTTTGGGCATGGCTTGAAGGATCAACTGTTTTGCTATGGCTGCTGAGAGGATGGTAGGCTGGGTGCAGCCTAAAGCATGGGGCAACGGGGAACATGACAGTGTCTGTACGTCAGTGAAAAAGCAGGGAGGCACATGATCACAGAGAAGCAGTGGGTCGGGGTAATTAGAAAGGCCCGAGAATGCCTGATGTGTTCCACTGACTACTCTCCTTTCTTGAAACAAGCCTCATTGCTCCTGCCTGCTTACTTCTCGCTGCCCTTCCAGTTTCTTCATCACTGTCCCCACCCCTTGTCCTCCTGCCTTGGGATCTCTAGAACTACTTGCTCCTCTAGAGCTGGTTCTTCAGCCCTCCCCAGTCCTGTGGCACTGCTGCCTTACCTGCTTTTGGCAGTCAGAGCTCATCCAGGGGCCAAGCATATGAACCTTATTACAAGGTACTCTAACCATATTTCATGTTAGCCTGTCTTGCTGGTTGGGAGCCAAGGACAGAGAGTGTTATGCCTGCAGGCCCCTTCAGGTGACAGGGTGCTGCTGTGAATAGTCAGCTTGCTTCTGAAGTTTTGGGGGGATTGAGCTTTACACTTTCTTCCTTTAGTTATTTACATTCAAGGTTGGTATTACATTTTTTGATTTATAAACTGCATTTAATAAGAGATTGTCACATAGAAGTTCTCCAAGTTTCTGGGAAGAATACTTATTATAAAAGGCTTTGTAATCCTTACAGTGTGCAGTCTTTGGCTTTTCTGAACTTTTGTTGTATTACTTTCAAGTATACTTTAGCATAGTTGGAAAGCAAGCTTGGAAAGAGAAAAGCTGACAGAGAGCAGATCAGACTGAGAGGCAGATGGTTAATGTTTGAGTTTGGTTTTGTTTTCAGTAGAGGAAGCTAGTATTTCCCACCTGCCTAAGGAGTGCCCACAGCAGACTGAATCACTTCAGACCTTGTTCTGAAATAAATCACAACAGCAAAAGGATGGTGTCTGTGGCAGTAGACAAAGTGCTTATTAAAAGGTGAGCTTTGCTGTGCATGCTTAAGGTCGCAACTTCTTTCTTTTCCAGAAAACCCAAGTTTGTTGCAGTAATCAAGGCTGGTAAAGGGAAGGTCCACACAGAGTGCTGAGACCAGCCTGCTTCCTCATTCTTCGCACACTCATTGTTGGGCAACTTTCTTCAATATCAAGTGAAAACTTCCTTCTCCAGTCCAGTAACACTGTACTCACCTCGAGCAGAACAAGTTCTCCTCCCCACGTAACACACGTTAGATCACTTGTGGTAATGCCCAGCAGTGTGCTTTACTGAGGTGATTAAGGATTTTGTTGTTTGCTGACACCTCCTGAAATACAGCATGTGTGTACTTTTATGGCCACTTTGGATAAAGTTACCACTGCAGCTGGTAACTGCACCATTGAGATAAAATTCGCCACGTGACAACCTAAGGAACAGCAAGCTAAGGAGCAAGGAACTGTTCACTTTCAGACTCCAGTGTGGCTACATAAGCTGCTGTTTACTTGCACAAACACAGAATGACAACTTTAACTTGAACAGTTGTCTCTCAGTAGTTGTTGTATTACCTGTAATTATTTCTGCGAGAGCTTGCAGGCTTGTGCTTCTGAATCAGATTAACAAAGGAAAACTTTGTTTCATGAGAAAGCCTCTTGATATGCATTATTTCCAGAAACCCTGAAATCACCATTTGTTACCATACAGCTGTTTTTTACCCCTGTTAAGCTTAACATCAGGGTTTTTTTAGAGGACTGATGTGTCTGTGGCCATATTCTGAGCTGCTGAAATAGCAGGATGTGTTCGAAAACAGAAGAGGACCAAAACCTCCACTTACAACATCCTGCAGGTCAGAATCGTGTGCACTTTCTAAACGGGTCAGGATTTGGTCTGAAAAGCTGGGATTTCTTGAAGATATCCTTCACATTTGCTGTATTTCTCCATTTCATTCTCCATTCAGTCACATAGCCTGCGTGCTGGATTTGTTTTACATTTCTTTGCTGTCCAATTTGCTGCCAAATCACCATCTCGTGTTGCCGTCTTATATAAATGTTAACATTAGCATTAGCTAGCTTCACAATAACAGCCTAGAAAGGAAACATCTACTTCTGAGCTTCCCCCTGCCAAACAAACCTACAGCATATGGGTTTTTTTTTTGGTGGCTACTGGTAATTAAGGACACTGGATGTAAAATTATAATGCAGTATGAACTGTTAGTCTGTAACGGTTATGATCATTGCAACACCCCCTTTGACATGTTTAGTGTTTTGCTTTTAAGTTGGAACATTGAGCATGGAGGATATGACTCCCTGTTTCCTTAGACAATATGAGCTCCATCTAGAGATCCTGCCTGCCAGCGGGAAGGCAAGTAAAAATCTCCATTTAAACTCTATGTTTTTAACTTTGATGACACATAACAAATGCATCAGTGTTACTTTTGTCCCCTGAAAGATGGCATGAAATGGAACAGGGATGCAAATATATGCAGAGAACTGGCCAACAAATAAACCAGCTGCAAACCCCAAATGAAACCCCGGCCTGTCTAAGTGTTGTAAAACCCAATGTACCTCTGCCATGAGGTCTGTTCCTACAGGAAAAAAGCACCATCACGTGCCCATTGTACTGTTCAATGTATGGAGTTCAGTTTGCACACTGATGCGCTGGGGAAAAACGTTCCTCACGCATCGCAGTGAATGAGTGTCATGTGATTGACTGTGTGTGATCCTTGTTTGGGTCTTCAGCTACTTTTACTGGAATCACGAGCTCAGTTAAGACCGAAAGAAGACACCTTCTCGAGCAGGCCCGGCTCAGGTTGGAGCGGCCAGCGCCGGAGTTCTACAGCACCTGCTCCAGTTTGCAGGCGGTGCCAACAGCGGACGGATCCCTGGCAGACACCGGCGTGGGCCTCCCACCCGGCGGACCCTCGCCAGGGCTGGTGCCGCCTGCGGCAGGTCGTTGCTCAGGAAGGGCCTCATGGTGAGGAGACCGGGCCGGGCGGGGCACCTGCCCGGCGGACAGCCCCATCCCACAGGCGCCCCTGACACAGTGCTGGGCGGAGGCAGCAGGAACCGGCCATGAGGGACGGCCGTGGCCTGATGAAGGGCGCCCGGCGGCACCGAGCTCTTCCGCCTTCCTTCAACCACCTCTGCCGGTGCTCGGGCCACTTAAGCCACCGTGGTTACATAAGGGGTAGGCGGTGCGCGCGCGCTGCGGCCCGCCCCCTCCTCGCCCGTGTCCTCGCGGCACCCTGCCCCTCCCCCTTCCCCGCGTGACCACCACCCGGGAAGGGAGGGAGGGAGGGAGGGGCAGGGCCAGCGCGTGCCTCCCCGCGCCCCGCCCCCTCCCGAGGGGGGCGGCACGTGCGCCCCCCCTCCCTGCACCCCAATGGAAGCCCGATTCCCCCCCCCGGCCCCTAGAGTTCCCTCCCCCCGCGCACGCTCACTGACACCGGTGGGGCGCGGGGCGCAGGCGCGGCGGGGACGAGCACCGTGCGGAGGGAGGGAAGGAGGGAGGGGGTGGGGCGGTCTCGTTCCTCCCTCCCCCCCTCTGCTCCCAATCCCTTTCCTCCTCCTCCTCCTCCCGCCTCCGCGGGGGCCGGGTGACGCACGTGCGCGCGCCCCCGCGCGCTGTTGTCCGCTCGCGCCCGCCGGTGCGTGCGTGCGTGCCTTGCCGGCGGCGGCGGGGCGCGCGCGGCGTGTGGGGCTGGCACGCGCGCTGTTGTTATTGGTGCCGCCGGCCGCGGCGCTGGGAGGAGGAGGAGGAGGGGGGGGAGCGGGCGGGCGCCTCAGTCAGTGAGTTCTTTAAAGATGGCCGGAGCGGCGGCGGCCGCCGCGACCCCCGTGTACTGCGTGTGCAGGGAGCCCTACGACGTGAGCCGCTTCATGATCGAGTGCGACATCTGCAAGGACTGGTTCCACGGCAGGTAGGCGCTAGGAGCCGGGTGGCGCTGGGTGAGGGGACGAGCGAGCCGCCGAGTCGGCCACTGGGCACAGGCGGTGGCGGTGTCCCGTCCGCCCGCCGGTAACGGTCGGGGGGACAATGGCAACGCGGCGGCGGCACGGAGGGACCGGGTTGCTGTCCGCTCCGGCTCCCCCCCGCGGCGGTGGCAGCGGCCGGTGCCGGCGAGGACTGTCGTCCCTGGGCACACGCGTCCTCGCTTGCGAGGGGGCGGCCGGGCCAAGCGAGGCGGTCGAGGGGGGAGGCGGTTATGAAAGAGCAACAGATGCGGGGCCGGCGCCACCCTGAAGTTGAGCCGGCTTTGGGGAGGCGTCGTGTCCCCCCCTCGCCCCGCTCCCTCAGCGTGTCTCTCCCGGGACAGGGCGGTCTCTTGACTGAGAAGCGTGGAGCGGGCACCGCGAGGGGTGCCGGGGCTGTACCCCAGCCGGGCTGGATCTCCCGGTTTACCGGGCGTTTTGTCTGGGGCGGGAGATGAAAGGGGGTCTCGGCGCACCTCTCGCCGTTTTGACGTTTCCAGCCCTGTCCCGAACGGCCGCCGTCGACTCGCGTGTGTTTTGCGAGACGAGCGTGTGGATAATACAGGCCCGGCGGCAGCCTCCCGGCTGCGAGCAGGGGGAGCCGGCAGGGATTCACGGGCAGTTAAACAAAGGAGCAAGTTGGGGGCCCCGCGGCTCGGCCGAGCCGGGGTTGCGGGGCTCCGAGCTGCTGCCCCCATTATGTGAGGCAGCCCCGGCGTGCTGGCCGGAGAGCTGGCGGCCGTGTAGGAAGGGCCTCGTGATTGACAGCAGGACATTTAAATACCCCCCGTGTAACAAAAACAGGCTTTCCGGCGAGACAGCCGACTCGCCCTCTGCCGGCGCGGGGCGGCACGGCCCAGCCGCGTCCAGCCGGGCCGAGCGGAGCCTGCCGCTGCCTGAGCCCCTTGTGTGGCGGTCCCCCAGTGCCCCGAAGTTGCCCGTAAAGTCGGGACCGCACCGGGGCTTTGCGGCAGCGGAACAAAGCTGTGCGCCGGAGAGGGCTCCCCGTTGGGAAGAGGTGCCGGTCCGACCGCGTTTGCCTTTCATCTCTTGCCCTCAGCGTTTGCAGCAGAGAAACGATGGTTGGGGGATGTGTGTGTAGTGTTTGTTGTTTTTCCTTTCTTCCCTCTCACTGGCAAAGGAAAAACGCTGTCTAAAAGTAAGTTGCGAATCTAGGTGTTACTTAACAGTAATTATTACACATGAGTGTTTTCTTGCCACGTTTTCCGATGAAAGGAAGGCTTTCAGTATTTCAGATGTTGACTTGTACATGCGTTGAGATGATTTGTTCTTTGTACGTGGGTTTCCCTTGACTCAAACCACAGTATAACAGAGCCTATGAAAAGGGCTTTGTAAACTCTAAAAACTGCTAAAGCACAATAGTTGGACCTTTAAAAAACAATCCTTCATAAATATTTTTAACTACACTATTATTCCCCTTGTTAGTACTGTTGTATATAATTGACACACAACTGCTGCTTTGGATTATAGTAGCTTAATATAGGTTTGTCAAAACTTGATCACTGCCTGTAATAAAGGTGCAGATGTTGTCTGAAAGTCTTTGTACAGTTACAGGTTCTCTCTCTTGCAAGTGGTTTTCTGCATTTGTGTGTTGCTCTTCCAGTCTGTCGAGGCAATTGTTCAGCTTACATTCAGGCTTATCTTAAATGCCAGTCTAATGCCAGTGCTAATATTATCAGGGTACAAATGAACTAATTTCTGCAATTGTGACGAGGAGGATGGTGTTGACTGACTGATACAAAGGTGATGTGGACCTCTGTAGCTTTCTTAAATCTGGATCCCCATTGAGGTCCACAGTGGCTCCCGTGCCCTGTTGTGCAGTTGCTAGAAAAACTGTGCTAACATTGAACTGCTTTGGTAGTCTGAAGCCCTAAGTGTGGGAAGTAAGAAAGCTTGCCAGCAGAAGCTGGCAACAGCCACGTTGCTCTGGGATTTAGTTGCACCCTCACCCAGTTTCGTGACGAAAGGACAGGAGCGTGGGAGACCTGTTGTCCTCTCCCAGCTTGGTCTCCTCTGCGAGTGCCTTTCCCCTTGCTCTGTGAGTATCTGAAGACTGTTACATAGCTTGTGAATGAAAACACACCCTCTCAAATCTTGATGTTTTTTGTGAACTTCGTGGTTTCATGATCTCTTGATTATTATTATTATTTTTAATTTATTTTTTTTCAAGCCTGTGGAATGGGACTGGTGTGACTTCATATTCAGAAACATGTAAACCCGTGCTTACTTTTCAGACTGTGGTACACTAGCATGATACCTAGCACGTATTATTGGATTACAGACTCTTGGCTGCCTTCCTGTGTATAGTCCGGAGAGTGCCTTAGCAGTGTGCTGCAGGCAGCACGAAGTCTGGTCTGACACATTGGTACTAGTCCCTTTAAATTTTACGTGATATTTCCCTCCCCGCCCCCCCCCCCCCCCCCCCCCCCGGATGTTCTTGCGCTCTGTGTCTTCAGATGACTGTGTTTTGGTTTGCTGTTATCAGTACTTTGATATTACCAAATATGCATTTTATTGCTTCTGCAAATATTTGTGTAAAAGCAAATATTTTGATGTGCCTTACAAGGTTATGAGCTTACATTCTGGGTTTTAGTTACTCTACAAGTGGGCCTAACATCCTGCCACAATCATCTTGTGTAATTAGCTCTTACTGAGCAAAAGAGCATAGCGTCTGTGTGGTGGTGTAGGCTTCATCACTTTCTTGAATTGCTTGCAGGAGTGGAGAGACTGCAGAGACTAAGGTCTGACAAACTGTCAAATCTTTCAGATGGGCAAATCCATTTATATTTTAAGCAGTGTTTGTATTTTCCTGGTCTTTTTATCTTCTTTAAATGAAGATGTCACATTAAGCTGCTTCTCCCTTTCTGGCTTGTCTAGGATATATCCTAGCTAGAACACTCCTTCATGCTGTTCTGAGTGTTCAACTTTTTCTTGAATCTGTTCAGTAACTCTTGACACCCATTTAAATTCTTGGCTTTATCTTCAAATGACATGTATCACAGCATGATAATTCTCGTTCTGTCTCTGTCTCCCTTTGTTTTTTGATGCTCTAACTCAGTTTCTAGGTTAACTACATACTGTCATTTTTCCTCCCTAGTGTTTTTCACTGTGATATATGTAACCACAGAACGTCTTTTTTTAAACTGATCTTGCAGTCAGCTCTGTTCTTGGAGTGTGTTTGTGGAGTCAGCTTTGAAATTTTTGTCCTTTTTTTTATTCTGTCCATGATACCTGTACTCAACTAGGCTAATGTGCATTGCATGGACTTCACTTATTCTTGAAGACTAGATTTCAAATGGGTCTGAACAAACTTAAGTTTAAGCATATAATTCAGCTTTTGTCAACACAATGTAAAGTTGCCTGTAATGCTTCAGGAGTAAATGTTTGTAGAGTTAGCTTTTTAAGGCTGTTTGCTTTGTAAAGCTGCACTGGTGCTGTGCTGGCTGTAAAGGACCATGGAGAAGTCAGTCAGGCAGACTAAGAATTAAAAATGCAGGTGCCCTTATGAAGTTTTCTGTGTAGCAGTTGTGCAAGGGATG